AATACAGTAATACTAGACCGGTTCAGTCTGATCTTAGATCAGATCGATAGACCCTACCCTAGATAACGCCGATGTTACACGACTGATTCTTCACCTAGTGTGCAACATATAAAAAAATTATTTTACAATACTAGATCGTTCCGCCAGTACATGTTGTGATTATAATCCCACACCATTTTATTATAATAAAAATGAATGATCTAGTAATTTTTTTATATGTTGCACACCGCGTGAAGGATCAGTCGTATAATATTACCCTAGATAGATTTTAAGCATTCTAAACTATTTTAGGAGATAGGCTAAAGCGGTGTGTATCTTTAATGATACACAGGCGATCGACCAGTTAAAATTTTGACTAACCCGGATCAGCTCGGCGAAACAAAACAAGCGAAAAAAAGAGAAAAATGCGCTTTGGTGTATTAATAAAAAATGTCGGGGAAGCAACTTTACCCATAGATTCATTTAAACCTAACCCCAATTGGCCCTAACTAACGTTTTATTAAATAAACGTTAAATTCACACCGCGACTTCTATTTTAGGAATTTTATATTTAATCGGAATTTCACGTGAAAGTAAGGTACACCCCTTATTTTTTGGCGTAAAACTTTAACTATAAAAATAACGTTTCCTCCACTAACCATCATTATTTTATGAATCATGTCTTTAACCAACAGGGAAAATCCAAAAATTCTTCAAAACTTTATTGATGGTCTATATGTGGACCCTGTTAAAGCATCTTCAATAAAGTATATTCCAGTTACTACACCACATACGGGAAAAGTTATCGCACAATGCCCGGTTTCCACTGCTGAAGATGTAGATAAAGCTGTTGAAGCTGCAAAGAAAGCTTTTAAGAAATGGAGGTACATACCATTAAATTAATGATTTAATTATTTATTTTGATTCATTATTTTTTTTTCAGTTCTCGAACGGTTAAAGATCGTGCGCAAGCTTTGATCCGATTTCACAACCTATTATCTACACATATTGAAGAATTGGCCGACCTGATCATATTGGAACATGGGAAAAATAAAGCTGAAGTATGTTTATTCTATCTGCTTTATTCTCTTTATTTGATATAAGTCATGAACAACTGATTATATTTTTAGGCGATGGCAAGTATTTCTAAAGGCGCCGAAACTGTAGAATATGCAATTTCTCTTCCTCAGCTGGTAAATAAAAAATTTATTAGAATGAACATTTTAAGAATGTCAATTTATCAAATATCAATATTTTCTAGCTTCAAGGTAAAATTTTGGAAGTTTCTAGAGGTGTATCATGTCAAGATGCTCGAGTTCCTTTGGGTGTTGTTGCTTCTATTGTACCTTTTAATTTTCCAATCATGGTAAATATTATATTTTAATTATTATGACATCTTTTTTTTATACGTTTGAATAATTGAATATTAAAATAAATAATTGCATGGTTAGGTTCCTTTTTGGACTTTACCAATCGCCATTGCTACCGGAAATACTTTAATATTAAAACCTTCGGAAAAGGTTCCTATGACTATGAATCGTGTTGTTTCTCTTCTAAAAGAAGCTGGTATACCAGATGGTGTTATAAATATAGTAAATGGAACTGTCGATGGTAAGTTCTATATTTCTTTTGAAAATTTCATAATTATGAAATTTAAATTTTCTTTTATTAAACTATAAATATTTTTAATCAGCCGTTAACGCAATCTGTGATCATCCGGATATAAAAGCGGTAACATTTGTGGGAACCTCGCATGTGGCTAACCTTGTTTCTGAAAGATGCCATAAATTGGGAAAAAGAGTTCTTGCTTTAGGTGGTGCAAAGGTTCATGTTTTTACTTTTATATATGAATTTCTTTAATATGCATATTTGATGTTACTAACTATCGTATACTTTGTACAGAATCACTTAATTGCTTCACCTGATTGTAATATTGAAACAACTTCAACCGATATCGTAAACTCTTTCTCGGGGTGTGCAGGTAATTTTAATTTTTTTATTGAATCGTATATATACACTAATGATTTGAACCGGTTAGGCCGTAATCGGGTAACCGAACCGAAAAAATTCGGGTGACCCGGTTAAGTAAATGTTTAACCGGATAACTCGGTTGACCTGGTTAATTCAGTTGGCTCAGCTAACCCAATTAACTTACAGCTGTTTTCATAAATTCTGGGACATTTGGCAAAAAATTGACCGACCGTATATTTGCTGATTCGAATAAGTTTTGATTCGATAGTTATCATTATCGAAATTACAAACTTATCGAATCGGCAAATATTCGGCGGTCAATTTTCTGCCAGATGCCCCAGAATTTATGAAAACAGCTGTAATTAACCCGACTAGCTCGGTTGACCCGGCTAATTCAGTTAACCTGGGTCAACCGATCTAACTGAAGCAATACAGTAAAACCGGTTGTATTCGGGTAAGTTAATTCGATTAACCGATTGGGAATTTTTACCCGGTTCAATTCATTAATATACACATACATGTAATATGATTAGGGATGTAATCAGCTTGATTAGCTTGGCTTGGCTAATAAAGTTACCATAGCTTGGGTTATAGCTCAAGCTCTTAGTTTAGCTTAACTTTGTTAAGCTTGGCTTAAATCTATGGCTAATGCCGGCTTTTTGTAAAGCTGATAACATCCCTAAATATGATAAATAATTATCTAACATAATTGTTTGTTAAAGGACAACGTTGTATGGCAGCTTCAGTCCTTTTGGTAATTGGTTCACAACAGGCCCTTCTTGACCGTATTTGTGCTAAGGCTTCTAACATAAAACCGGGTGTAAAACCTGGAGAAGTAGGCCCAGTAATTGACCAAGCATCACTTGATAAAATCAGAACCTATATCGCAGAATCCGAACAAGCAGGTGCTAAAATTCTTGTCGATGGTCGCCATTGGACTTCACAAAACCCTGAAGGATTTTGGATCGGGCCGACCGTTATTTTGCATAGTAACAAAGATGATAAAGCATTACATGATGAAATTTTTGGTCCTGTGTTGAGTGTTTATCAATGTTCTAACAAGGAAGAAGCGATAGAGATCGAAAATGGCAATCCGTATGGTAATGCAGCTTGTATATACACTACTACTGGTGCAACGTCTGAATGGTTTATTTCAAGATTTAGTGCTGGAATGGTAATAATTATTATTGCATTTATAATTTATTTTATTTTATTCCTTTACTAATTCTTTTCTGATTTTAGTGCGGTGTGAATATTGGAGTTCCAGTACCTAGGTAAGTTTACATTAACTAATTAACTATAATACAATTCAGTAAACTTGTATCCATTAAGTAAGCTCATAAGCTTAATCATTTATTAGAGAGCCGTTTTCATTTGGAGGAATAAATCGATCAAAGTTTGGAAACTTTATGGACATTACTGGCGATGGTGGTGTCGAATTTTTCACTTGGAGACGTAAAGTAACAACTAGATGGGGTACTGAAGATCTTGACCCAAAATTAAAAATGTAAAATGGAAATTAAATGAGGTGTCAGTCTATTAATTGATATTTTGTTAATTTTCTTTTATCAAGTTTTAAACTGAATTTATGTGAAATAATGTGTTCACATATTATTTGTCGTATTATTTTGTTGAAATTAATTCAAAATTTTTTCAATTTTATCATAATTGTCCGTATTGTAATGACTTCTGCGCAAAACGATATCAAAATTCCGCTTTGATGCATTTTTAATAAAATAACAAAACTTCGACATCGCATATTTGTGTAACACAATAAACCTTATGCGATTTCGCAAGCATGGTGGACAAACCCGAATTTGGATGATCGACATTGTGGCTTAGCCAATTTAATAAAAAATTTTTTTTTAACTTTTTATACAGTTTAAAGTA